AAAACCCAAACTACATCTCTCTCTCTCTCTAAAACTCCATCTCTCTCACACACATAAGAAGGTGTGCTTGTGTTCGAGCTCAAGCTAAACCCTTTGGTTGATAAACTGTCACGCCCCAAGAATTTACAATACTGATATTCCTGAGATGTGACAGTCAAAACATATATACATCTCTTGATATGACAAATTTACAATGGCTAATTCTTACAAAGTAACAAAAGAAAGTTTAAGCACAATTACAATATTTTCTAGAGTTGATCCTAACGAGCACGTAAAATGAAACCGCAGTTATCCTGAAAAATGTTTACCACAATTTGATGAGTTTGGTTACTCAGTAAGTGATCATCATAATCCTAAAAATAATCATGGTTGAAAGATATCAATATTTTAAAAAAAGGAGATCTATTAACAGAAATGCATTAACAGTTTCACTTTCAAAAATGCATAATTAAGTATAATCCGAATAATTGAAATGCGCATAACATTTTAACGCCAGTGCATAATTCAAATGATTTCACAAATTACCCTACTGACGTCCCAAGTAGGTCACCTATATACCCCATCAACGTCCTGATGGGTCCACTTAATCCATGTCGGCGTCTTAGATAGGTCCACTTAATCCCTGCAGGTCCACTTATACCTCACTGGCGTACCGGATGAGTCCACTTAATCCCTACCGGCGTCCCGAATAGGTTCACTTATACCTCGCCAGCGAACCAGATGAGTCCACTTACATAGTTAAAGTATTTCTAAATATCTTTAAACATTCGAAAGTAGTAATATCATGTACTCAACATATCACTAAAATTATTAATATGAATTTCACTGAAACCATTAATAACAATCACTTTCAATAATATTTCAAAAATAACCAGTCAAATATTTTGGGCTCAAATTTAAAAAGGTAGCAGTTCGTAAGACATTCTAGCATAATTGCCATTCTAATATGTATAGAAAAATTCTTATAGAAATTCAAGAATACAGAATTATCACAATTTATGGGATGTTAATTCGCAAATAAACATTTCACAGACAATGCTATAATCAATTGCAAAAATATCAGTTTTCAAATAATAAGGCAGTCATTTGCACATGAATTTTACAAGGTCTAAATATTTAAAAACAGTAGAAAGAAATCTCACAATTTTACCAAAAGCAGAAATATCAAATTTATTTATAATAATTTTACAGTATCTAAAATTTTCTAACAATAGACAAGAAAAATAAATAAATTTATTTTTCTAAGAATTTACAACATTTAAGATTTCTAACATAGATAAAATATCACAATTTTATTAAAAACATTATTTTTCAAAATAATGAGATCGCTTGAGCATAAAATTTATCGCCCCTAAAATTCATGATAATAAGCAGAAGTAATTATTTCATTTTATTTTTAAAAAGAACGGATTATTTTTCAAGATAATGAAGTCACTTACCTAAAATATTTAAGAGGGAGCTTCCGATAAAAATTCGACTAGAGAGAGAAAGAGCTCACTGCGTTTCGACTAGAGAGAGAAATATCTCAAAAATTTTCTAGAGTGGAAGTCCTCGCTTCTCCTATTTAAATTCTTACCTTATTATATTATTTTATTAAGTTACACCTCATATATGAGGTGTAACAATTATATTACACCTGAACATCTACTAAAGGACGTGACAAGGCAGCAAAAACTTAAACCAAAAGCTTTTGAAAGTAGTGATGGTCCCTAAAGACCATCATGCTCATATGAACCATCACTTATTAAAAGTTTTTTTTTTTTGGAAGTTTTAGGATTGTTACATAAACTCACCGAGAAGTAAAGAGAGAGAGATGGAGTTTTAGAGGGAGAGAGATAGAGTTGAATAGGGTATCATTTAGTATTTGTTTGGATCGCAAATTTATGGTCAAAGGGGGGTTGTAAAATATAAAAGATGGAGATATTTTACTTATAAGAAATATTTGCAATTCTTGAGTATCATGAGATATAAAAGTTAAAAATAAAAGATAAAGAAATATTTTCTCATTTTTTTTCAACCTTTATTATTTTATTCTAAAATGCCTTTTAGGTTAGAACTATTAGTTCTAGACTAAAGGCATTTCGGAACTAACATTTTCAAACTACATTTGCCCTTTTTGGATTGGTTGGGAAATGTTAGATTTGAATTACTCAAGGAAGAAGAAGCGGCAGTTTGGATATGTCAGTTCCGAATCGGTGCAGATGAAGAAAATGTGGTTCTAAACTGTCAATTTGGAACTCCCTTTTTCCCTCTTTGAAGCAACACTCAAAACGTGCTTTGGAGCTATCAGTTCCAAAATGGCACGATCGGAAACTAACAGTTTCAACCTGAAGATATTTTGAAAAAGAATTAAAAAAAGATTAAAAGGGCTATCTTTGTAAATTGAAAAAATTAGGGGATATTTTTTTTTATACCAAAAAATAAACGGATATTATATTAATTAGCCAAATTTTAAAGTGTAGTTTTTGTTTTTAGAGAAAGGTTCCTATACATCCCGTATGGATGGAAGATATATACCTCCAGCAATTCAATTTTGATCAAGTGCGCATTGCTCGATATAGATCTGACGCTTCAGAGTATTTTATTTTTAATTTTGTTTCTACAAAATAAATAAATATGAAATTTGATATGTGCCGTCATCTCAATAGGGCACGTCTAAAATAAATATTAAAAAATATTTTTGATAAAAAATGACCAAAATACCCCTAAAACTTTTTGGAGCATATTGGTTGTTTTATTTTATTGAGGAGTGGACGTCCAACTTTTGGTGTCAAAATATTTTGTAGAAAAAAACCTAAAATTAAAATAACGTAGAGGCGTTACATGGTGATTGGAGCCATCTCAGCTGTCCATTCAAAATAGACAGTTAAATTAAAAAAAATATATAAGTTTTATAGAAGTATAAAAAGCAGCGTGCGCCTCAGGCACATTGCCCTTCTCTCCTTGCGATTTCCCTGTAAAACCCCATTTTGTTTTCTCTTGCAAAAACCTCCAAGCTCCCTTATTTAGGAAAAAAGTCCACACAAGGTGTCAATGTTATACTTTAGTAGTAAGGTCCACCTCAAAATCCACCCAAAAAATATTGTTTCGAAATTTAAAAACCCGATAATTGATAATATCCACTTCGATATGTATGAATATTAAAAAAATGATTTGAAGCCTTAAATTAAGTGAATATCGTAACACATTAGCTAGACCGCTCATTTTCAAAATTTTGAAGTATTTATAGATATGTTCCATCTACAATATTTTTAAAGCGTTAAATTTCATTGATAAAAAACAGATTTTCAAGTCACCATGATAGTTTCCGACACCGAAATTGCATATTTTAGAAAGATTTAAATATGCAGATTTCATTGTTTAAGATTTACCTCTTATACGGACCACAACCTTGTCTTTTTAGAACTCTTCGGATTGGCAAGGGATGAGAAAGTTTGGTTCTTATAAAATCATATAATTAATAATAATTCTCAATTAAAAATGGGCATCTAAGAGTTTTTTTGCGATCTATTTTTTTTTAAAGGAAAATGTTTTCGTAGGGCTGCAGCCCTATCAAAATAAGTAAAGCCTCATTTAATAGCTCATCGAAAATTGTAATTCAAGCATTGAAAAACCTTTACACCGATTATCTCGACTTGAAAATTATGGTTGTGAAAAATATTAGAATTTCAAGCTAAATTTTTTTTAACAAATTATCCAGACCATCCACTTAAATTTTATTATCGGTGTTACAAACTGATTTTAGAGCCATCACCAAGATTTCCGTTATCAAACGTGATTTCCGGACGAGGATTTGAGGTGAGGATTTATTTGTTTTTCATATAGCCCAGGCCCTATAAAAACTTTCAACCCATTCTTAATTTTTGCTAGGTGTATATTATGCACCCGCGCCAGTTTCATTTTTAATTGCCGGCCTTTTCCTTGTCTCTTTCCCGCCTCCCTTCTCTTGGAATCTCTTCCCTCTTTTCACCATGATTCCTCCCTCCTATAACACTTTTCTGTCTCTGATCTCGTGGCCTAGCCATGGATTCCCTCTATGCCATTTTCCTTCTCTGCGTCTGCGTAATGGCGGCCCTGGCTTTGGCTGAAATACCTCAAATGGAGCACATATTTGAGGTTATTGAAAGGGAACGCCCCCGTCCTGCTGTCCAAGAGGCTGCAGCCAGAGGCGTTCTGAGCAGGCTTCTTCCTTCACATTCTGAGAGCTTCAAGTTTGAGATTGTATCCAAGGTTCTCACTTTTAGCAAATTATTATTTCTCTGTTTGTTGGGAATTCTTGAGGCTAAGCTGTGTGCCTGTCTGGTTTTTTGATCCTGCTTCTAAAATGTTTTAAATTTCAACTGAATGATATGCTTATAATGCAAATGTGGGAAATGGTTATGAGTTTTTTGATTATCTGCCCTGATTGTTTGCTTTCTTCTTCAAATTCAGATAACCAGTAAATTTGTGGTGTAGGTTAATTTTATTTATGCTGTATGATTATGTTTCATTTGTGGCGGTATTTTCCTCAGAAATTAGTTGATCATTAGAGTTGCTTTGAAAAACAAGATAGTGTTCTCCTGAGGTCGTTTTAGGGACAGAATGTATTTGATTCACCCTTGTTTATTTATAGAATTTCCGTAATCATTTGAGTTTGCTCTGGGAATGCGTCTTTGCATTCATTTCTGTGTTTTTGGAGAATTTTAATCCGTTATTTACAATTTCTGTGGTGACATCAATATATTGCATTCATCCTTGTGTTCTTTTGAGAACCATGGGATGATTTTTCAATGGGAAATGCCCAATTCTGGCATTCATGCCATTAATTTTTAGGGAATTTCATTCTCGAGCATGTGTTGCAGAACCTCATTTAGAATCTCTGGTGCCTTTTCTACCACCATTTCCATCTAGGTTATGTGGCTAGATGTGGTTGTGTAAAGTGAGAATGATGATTTCCTGGTGTTTCTCTTTTCCATAGCTGAAATGCCTAGAGTGCAGTTCTCAAAGGTGTTGGGCTTATTGTATTTGAATTGTGGAAACTGATAAAACACATTGCATTACTACAGAAAAATTATTGTGTATATCTCACATAAATATCGCTTTGGCAAATTGTTCCAAAAAATGCCGGGTAGCACCTAGACAACTGGGGGGTCTAGGCCGCCCAGGTTTAGAATAAGAAGCATAGGAGGGTGTCTAATCTAATTGTTTTAAGTCCAGATTCTGCTGAAAACTAAAAAATACATCTTGAGGCATATAACACATTATGAATAAATAACATATAGTCCATCCCTAGTCCATTACTCCATAATCTATACATCTCATACCATTAGTCCATACTCCATACCGTAGTCCGTACTCCATAGACTTCATGCACATAGTAAAAATAGGAAAATGTTATCCAACATTCAAAATTTTCGAATTCAGTCATCAATTCATCATCAAGAAAAGGAAAGAAGTAACACAGCCAAATGTCCATAGTCCACATACACTCCATGACTCCATATCCATAGTCCATACATACACATAAGAGGAGGAAAAGAAAAAGGAAAGAAATATAGATTTGAAGACTCAAAGAGTGTTAAGTGATCATCAAACAATAGTAGGATTAGTTGCATCGTATGCATCGGGGTCGAGCCCATCATCATTGGAATCATCTCCTTCCTCAACATAATGGTCATCCTCCTATGTTTCTTCTGAATCTACCTCTGCTTCTTCCTCTTTTGGTGCCATTCTTGTCCTTTGTAAAGAAGATCTAGTGGCCCTAGGAGGGCTGCTGTTCCTGAGGCCTCCATGACCATATCCCATATCAATCCTTCATGCCCCTTGCCCTCATCATCATCAACCAACCCCTCCATGGCATTATCCATGTTTTTTGTTCAAAGGGGGTCTCTCTTATCTCTCTTAGCAAATGTCTCCTTCAAGAATCGATTGAATTTCACATAAACTAGGTCATTGAGCCTCTTTGATTTAAGGTTGTTTCTTTTCTTCATATGAATCTATGTGAAAAATGTTAAACACATACAATGAAATCAAATGAAACTAATTAACATTACAAATTTTAAATTGGCACAATAATTAGTAATTACTAATTACTAGTACAAATTTGTAAATTATAAATTAATAAAATAAATTACCATCTCAAAAGTACTCCAATTTTGCTCATAGCTAGAGGTAGTGGTTAGGCTTAAGATTTGAATGGCCAACTTTTGTAAGTTTGGAGCACTACAATCATGTTGGCTCGACCAATTGACTGTAAATTGATTATGGATCATGATTATATGTGAAGTAATAAAAAAAAACAAATATGAAACTTGAAATTGAAGACTGGGTTAAGTATATTATTACCTTAATTAATTTTGGTCATTTGTCTCACCGTTTTTGGACTCCCAAAAGACTGCATGTGCACTTGTAACTTATTAGCTCATCAATGCATATAATGTCTTGGATACCTTGATTAGGGACTAGTAAATCCAGAGAGCTATTAAATTCTGTCATAATTGTGTCATTTGTCTGTAAATCCCTATTAGCATAATAAAAAGTTGGGTTCAAATAATAATCAGCCAATGGTCTTTAAAGCTGCCTATCCCACTTCTCATCAATAATCTTTTAAATTGACTCATAGTGCCTCACATCATTATTCAAATTATGGCTTTCTCTCTCTCATGCAACTTTACATTGCCTCATATATGAAGTCCATAGAGGGCATGTCACTGTCAACCATGCGAAGGACTTTGACGAGAAGAAAAAATACTTTAAGAGTGCCCTTCATCCGTCAAAAAATCTTAGATAAGACGATATCTCTCACCCTCTTCCCTTTCTGATCTATGGCCCACTTGTATGCTCTTCAATCATCCGAGCTTCACATTTGCCTCAACTGGACTCTCTTCGAATGTATGCTTTATAGACATATGTACCAGGTACAAATCTCGTGACCTCCGGCCTCACTATCTCCTTCTTCTTTGTAAATATGCGGATAATGTGACGGTGACGGTGTGGCTGTAAATGAAAGCTGTAACTGACCTAGCCTTTTTAACTACAATTGCAATCTCGCTCAAACCTCTAATGGCCTCAAGCATGTGAAAATGCAGTGTGTTGCATATGGTGTCCAAAACACATGAGGGTAGGCTATATGCAACAAATTAGCTGCAACAACATTAGGAGCAGCATTATCAGTGACAACCTGTATAACATGCTGCTCTTAACCTCCTTGATGCCATTCTCAAACACTTTAAATATGCAATGGGCATCATGGCTATCATCAAAGGCATCAATAGACCTAAGAAAAAGTCCCTGAAGGACAATCTACTAACAAATTCATCTGACTTTTCCTCTTATTGTCATTCCAACTATCATTCATAATAGACACCCCACTCTATATTGAGCCCATGCATCCTTTTGTGACTCCCCAATCTCCCTCATGATATTCACCTCTTTTTTCAAAAGAAGCTTTGAAAGCTCATATGGGGTTAAGAGCTTCAGCTAGGCTGAAATTGCCTCATTGCCTCTACCATGGTGTAGAAGCTACTTAGGCAAGTGGCATTGAAAGGACTTCCTGCCTCATAAAACCATCGAGCAATATACTAAGGAGTTCTCTTTCTCTCTTCCTTCTTAATTATGTTTTCGATGGTTGTTTGCTTCTTTGTTTTCTCACTTGCAACCTCAGGGTCAAGCCGGGTGGAATCCATAGGCCCCCTAATCCGATGTCTCTTAACCCCCCCCCCTGCCCCCCAGTTCAACTCTCTTTCCTTCCCCCCTAGACTAGGACATAGCAAGCTTCTTTACCTTATCACATCCTTCATCATCATTCTCATCATCATCATCATCATCATCATAATTAACACTAACCCTAGACCTTGGCTCTTCTATGCATGCCTTTCTTTCTTCTTTTTTTCTTTTTTACTATATTTGTATAATTTTTAATTTCCTCTCTAATCGCATCAAGAACTTTTTTACAAGGGGTAACATCCCCTCTGATACTGGTAAGATGTTCTTTGAACCGGTTTATTACTACTATTTGTAACCTTCTCACAATAATTGCGTCTCATGCAATTTTTATCTAAAGGATTCAAGTTATAGCCGTACTTCCAACTCGGATCGTAACTTCTATTGGAACCCGAAGACGACATCTCAAATTAATTTAAGCAATTTTTCACTAACCTCGATTGCTCGTTCTTCAAAATTCCACATTTGAAATGTTTCCCAATCTCAAAATCTTCTAGAAACCCTCTATTAGGCCTAAAAGATCTCCAAAAGTAATTTCAAACTCCAAGGGAGATATTTGGATCGATTTCTCGGAACTTTGAGAAATCATTCGATGCTATGGATATCACAAATTATCAATTTTTTGTAGTTTCTCTCTCTAAAATAATTCAATTGGGGTTTAGGTTGCATATGAACCTAAACGGCCCCCACGCTTTACTACCTTAAAATTAAAATAAAAGAGTAAAAAGTGCTCCTCCACGAGGCTGTGTTTGCCCTTGAGCGGGCGTAGGCCTTGGGCTCCCTAGGGAGCTCGCCTGGGCCATGGCGATGCGCCTAGGCCCCCCTAGCCTGCCTAAGCGCTAGGTGGGCCATTTTTTGAATCACTTCTTTGGCATGTCATTGTGGTGGCTATATTGATGCATTGTTAGGACTTGATAATTAGTGAAAGCTAATCGGTATATGGTTGCTTGTTCTCTCAACATCTTTTTGGTGCCTGGCATATATTTATTAATTAATATTTTCACTTGATATTCATTAGGTTTGGTGTGTTTTATTTAGTTTTGTTGTTATATGGTTTAAAATCTATAGAAGGATGCCATTTCCATTAATTCCCTTTAGATTATTATCTATTTATTTTTGATATAATTGGATTTTAGTATCCATCAGTAGTTCGTCAGAAAGATGATTATATTTGTTTTACTTTTTTGTGGTTAGGAGCGATGCGGTGGAAAATCCTGTTTCATTATTGGCAATTATGCCTCTAGTTTGCAACAGGCGTCGGAAATTCTGTATGTTAACTCTGGATTTAACTTTTTGGATTGTTATGGGTAGCATTACATTCCAATTATGTGCCATTTCTCTTGTAAAAATGCATGGATTATGTACCTTGTGATATTACTTGTGAAGGAGCTTTTAATCCCAGCAAAACATTGTTTTAGGAGTTTGTATGCTCATTCTTTTCCTTTGTTCAGTGTACAAATCTGTCGGCCTTTTAGGGTGTTTTTACTCTGTTTTTTTCGCTGTACGTTTGGCTTCTTAGTGTCATGCATATGTGTGTTTCATTCTTGGGTTTGGCATTGAAGGGTTTGTCCATAAAAGACTTTTTCTTTACGTGCCACCATTGCAATGTTTAAAATACTAGAGTAGAGAATCGTGGGCAAAGCGGCAATCAAGTGATTATCATAGTCCATCTTTACCGGCCCTCTTTAACAGTGTTCATAAATTTCAACTTTGGTCAGCAACAATTGCAAGATGTTCACATATTCTGGGGCCTCTGAAGCACATAGATACTTCGGTATTGGTGAAAAGTTAAATTATGAGTTTTTCTTGGCGTTTCATGACACAAAACAATATATCAATGTGGGATTTAGACTCATACAGATTTGGCAGCAATCTGCAACCACGTATCTCTCATAAGGTCACCACCCCGCGTAACAAAGTTCCAAGTCAGCAGTACCCTTAGGTATTTGTGAATTTTCTGTGAATTTTTTTTCACAACATCTAGTATGTCTCCTTAATGAATGCTAGCCACTTCTGGGAATTTGGCCTAAATTCCATCATTGAGCACAAGGGGCATCATATCCTGTGAAATGTGGGGAAATCTATGGGGTTGATGATTGTGGGTGCTCCTTTTGATAATGAGCAGGTTTTCAACTCTAGGCTCTCTGTGGGATGATATTGTCATCAAACTTGTACCACTTCATTTACTTGCTCTGATTGACCAAGTCATCCACATGGAGACTGAATCTCCCATTCCCCAAAAGACTTGTCTGTCAGTGTGGTAGAATTTGTACCATTGGAGTTTGGTGTTGTTTTACTCTCTTTGGTGTATGTTTTTCTATTTTCTTCTCTAGTGGAGTAGATATTGTTTTATTAAACTTTTCAATGCTCAACTATGTGCAAACGAGATTTTATCTTGTAATGTCATTTGTAATTGTAAATTTTTAACACCACATGCATTTCAAAGAGGAGCCATTTAAGTTCTAAGATTCTTGGAAATGTGGGTTGTTATTACACCACTAGAAATTATAGTTACCAAACTAAAATATTTAACACAACTGGCTGCCTAAACTAACTTACACTGGAAGACAATTATCTTTCATGGTCATTCCAAGTATGCCATCTAGGTCATTAGGCTTTCAACTAGTTCTTTCGTTTGGAGAACGATGTCCTTTGAAGAGGAAACATTCATTTCTCAAGATTATAGCAAAAAGAGGTGCAACATTTTTCTTGATTGCCAAAACTACAGTAAAGTAGCCTACATTGAAAATTAAACTCATTTTTTATGGTTATCTGAAGTTTTGCGCCTTTCTGTAAAGAGTTTTGGTTTGGTCATGAACATCATACCTTTCTGATGAGTTTTCATTGAGAGCTTGTTGTCTATGGTAAGTTTCCTTAATAATTTATTAACTCCTTCAAAAGTTTGCATGTATAGAATTAAAGGTACAACTGGAGTAGAGCTATCAGCTGGCCTGCATTGGTATTTAAAGCATTGGTGTGGGGCACATATCTCGTGGGACAAAACTGGAGGTGTACAGCTCGCATCTATACCTGTACCTGGTTCACTGCCTCATGTTCAATCTGCTGGTGTTTTGGTCCAGAGACCCATTCCTTGGAGTTACTACCAGAACGCTGTAACATCAAGTTGTAAGCGCCATTAATAAATTACATTTATGTTTATCTGTTTCCATCACTAATAAATCTTGAAGTTATTTCTCAAGCATCTTTATTGATCTGAACCAAATCAATGCCTTTTAAAAATGAAACCTGCTATTCAGACATGAAAAGCTGCCAACATTTTGATGGTTTTCCATTCTCGGGGGACTGGAATGTGTAAACAAAAGAGGTTTACTTCTCAATGGGTGATAACATTTTAAAGACAGAAAATTGCCCTGTTATAGATGGAATAGGAGAAAATTAAGGGAGCAAGTGGTCCTGCAATACCATGCTGTTCCTAGCTACACCCAAGTTTGCTAACCTTATCGCCACCACATTCGCTTCATGGGTACATGTGCATGATCGAAAACTCCAGAGTCAGATGGCAAACTCTTAATTTTAGGATGCCAAATTACTTTGGAACCATGGAGTCTCCTCTACTTTCAAGCCAATGTGTCACACTCAAAAAGTTCCCCCGGATGATCCCAAAACCGAGTGGGTCTGTATCCTCATTCTCTCTAGAACTACTTTCACTGTGGGACATGTGGAGTCCTGAATGACCTTGGATGGTGGCATAATATTGATGTTACAGAATAATGTTATGTTGTTCCTTATTTCTGTAGTCTAATTTCATTGAGCCTTCATTGCATTTGTTTCTTGATTAAGTGCAATACTATTATCACACCCTTTTGAGATATATTTATTGTTCTCTGTTGAAGTTATTATCATTATCCCAATTTTGGGCCTATTTGAAGTACCTAATCACCAAATTATCACCATAATCATCATCCAAGCCTTGTCCAACTATTTGTGGTCGGCTATAGGAATTCTATTATGCCATTCGACTCTATCAAGGTCCATATGCTCAGTCAGTCCATAAGTCACCATATCGCTTTCCTATCAAGGTCAATAAAACTCCGAAATTCGCCCACCTAGCTCTAATTTTATGCGCGGCATCTTCCTCAATCTTCTCCATTCTCCTGGATTGTCTACCCAAGATATCGACAATAATCTCTTTTAGTTATTTCTTAGCCATCAATCTTAACTGCTTCATCATTTCTACTCCTATTATTACTAAATTGCATTACATATATTTTGTCTTTGTCTAGCTAATTTCTTTAGATTCTAGAGCATCCTTTCAAAATTCTAACTTTTCATTGACGCCGCCTCTAATCTTATTAATCAAAACTATGTCATCCACGAATAGCATACACCATGATACCTCATGCTATAGATGCCTAGTTAACTCCTCCATAACCAAAATAAAGAGATAGGGGCTCAACACTAACCCTTGATACAAGCCTAATATCACTGGAAACTTACTTGTCTCTCTACTAGTGATCCTCACACTAGTTAGTGCTCCCTTGTACATATCTCACCATGTCAATATATGCCCTAGAGACTCCTTTATTGTCCAACACCAACCAAATTGACTCTCTAGGTACCCGCTGGTATGTTTCTCTAAATCAATAAAGGCCACATGGAGGTCTCTTCCCTTCTCCCTAAACATCTCAGTCAGTTGTTTAAGTAGGAAAATAGCTTCAATTGTTGACCTCCCTAGCATAAAACCAATTTTTTGTCCAAAAAAGTTATTAAAATTTGACTAGGAAAAGTTTCCCTATCATTGGAAAACCATTGGTCTACTTCCACATTAAACATAGGACAACACTTATAGGAGATGAGTATTGCAAGAATGTTTGTAAGGGAGAGGGACCATGGCCCCATGGAAAAAAGGGCCAGGATTATAGACACATACGGTATTGATACTATGTTTAAAATTTCTAATTGAATAGAAATCATTCTTACTTCTTTAAAGTTGAGGTAAATATGACCTTAACAAAGCCAGGAACATGTGGAAGAGACATATAAACTCTTTTTTTTTTGGATGGAAGTTAACTTAAGAGGCATATAAACTCTTGATAACTAATTATTACAAACATAAGAAAACAATAAATGGAAACAGTCAACTAATTGGGACATCATGTATTTGGTGGTCCAAGCCGTCTTTTTTACTGTCCACTGTTGGAGCAATGTTGATTATGTTGAGGTAAACACTTTGTTAAATCTTCTAGATGAGAGTGTGTAATGGTTTTAATGCACTCCTTCCTTTCATTTCAAAATTTATTTCTTCTTGAGTACTTACAGGGCCTTCAATTCCTCACTCATTCTTGTTGTATTATGTTTGCATTAATTTTCAAGATTCGTTTGCATGGTGGGACTGGAAAAGATGGGAGAAGGAAATTGATTGGATGGCACTTCAGGGAGTCAATTTGCCTCTGGCATTTAATGGGCAGGAAGCACTTTGGCAAAAGGTTTTCCAGGTAAATTTATTGTTGGTGGTCTACTAGCTTGACTAAAAACTCCTTAAGTTTGTTTTTGTCGATTATTATGTAACAATTCCAATGTGGCCACAAAGAGTAATATTTTTCTTTGCCTTTGTGTGGTAACTTGTTAGATGAACTTCAGATACTTTTGGGGGACATCTTATTGGGAATTTGAATTTCCTTTTTAATGTGTTATTCATGTCAATGTGCCTTGTCCCTGGCAAGAGTGCCCTTCAAAATTCAATAATTGCATCAAAGAGAGAAGTGTTGCAGATAAGAGATGAACGTTTTTACTGTTTGACTTATTAGTGAAGTTTAACTTGTGTCTGATGATCAAAAGTTTTTCAAGGCAGGTGAACAACACATAGCATTGCGATTAAAGTTGTAATCTGATGCAAACCAGTAAGACAAAAAAAAAAAAATGCAAGTATAGCTAACGCAATCAGTTATCTTTTTAATTAGATTCAATGTTCCTCACTGTATTTTCAGGCAACATATGAAACTTCTTATAGACTCCACAAGATGCTTCTAAAGATCCCTGACCAAATCCCCATGATTGAAAGACCCAAGATACCTAAAAACCTTAAAGCATTTATTGAAATAGGCATGTCATAGGAAATATACAAAACTGAACCCCAAACCCTAAATAAAGACCATTAATCTTCTGACAATTTTACCCCAAATACTCTAGAACAAAGAAAATGCTTCACTATTAAAAAATGAACCCATCATTCTCTCCTGGTTGTGAGGACAATTGTAAAGTCCATATATTCAGAGCTGGGCAATTGTAAATTCCCATATCTTATTTAATACAAATTACAGTCCATGTTATACCAAAACGCAACCGCCCCCCGCCTTCCAAAAAAAAAGAAACAAATTCCATCATTCTCCCCTAGTTGCAATAAACTCAATCACGGTGGGTTTTCTTTAACAAACTGCCACAACAAATAGTCTTCTACCTTTCACAAGTCGGCTTCCAAAACCCACGAACTTTGAAAGGTTTTCCTTCCTATTGCACTAGATATCGCTGATAAGAGCCCCCTCCTACTGAGATATCCTGAACATCAAGGATTTGGTTGACTTTCTCTTTGTCTTCTTTGGCAATTGATGAAGCCCATTCTCCATGAGCCCCCCGACTATGACGTTTCCTTCCTACTGTCACGAAATCTTGGTAATTTTGTGGTGATTGGAGACTGCTCTGATAGCAGATGATGTGAACCAGGAAGTGAGAAGAATAGTGGTCATGTAGCTAGCGACCTTTAGTGAAGATGTGATGTTTGTAATCATAAATATATTGAGCTGTTTGTGATAGGATAACAGCTTAGTATCTGATAAATGGCTGGTAGTGAGTCATAGAAGGTTCCTTCCTAAGCCAAGCACCTTAATCATTCTGTATGTACAATAAAACCTAATAATGGCATAGAGAGGACTAACCTGAAGCTAATAAAAATGTGCGAGATTTGGAGATGATGTCTGCCATCTGTGACATTCTTTAGTTGCATATTCACTGTCTTACTGTTAGTATGGTGATAATGTTTTATCACTCCTAGGAACATTTATGATGCTGAAAGTTTAACATCATCTAACATACAGATATACTGAGCTTTATTGAGGCCCATCCAGAAAATGACTTTTGCTGCTGTGTGCATATCATCAGATCAGTTGTACTTTTTCTTTTAGTGACGTTCTTGTCTTGTAAGTTTGGAGCATGGAGTGCTAACCTAAATGATTGGCTGAAGTCTGAACTGTTTTGTATAATTGCAAAATAATCCTAGGATTTTAATGAGATGATGTAGTAATGAGTTTTCATTCATGTTTCATATTTCTATTTGACTGTTGGGGGAAGATCGTTAATGGTTTTGAAGTTGAATCTGCATTTTCTGAAGTTCTTGGTTCTACTACATAAGAATTGTTTATCTTCACATTGTGAACCCCTGCCATATCAAGCACTTATTTATGTTGGCAATGTGGTTACAGAAATTGAATATTTCTAGCACGGATTTGAATGATTTCTTTGGGGGGCCGGGGTTTCTGGCATGGGCACGTATGGCGAATTTGCACAGGTGAGACAAAAACTTTGTTGAAAAGTAGTTCATCTTTTTCTCCTGTTTTATGCCTGGATTCAGTCCCTGTCTGAACAGTGTGATGCACATATATAGTCAATTTTCACTGCAACTTGTACTTAAATTTTTTGAGAGCAACTATGTAGTCTAGATGTATGTGCTGTCAAGGTGATACTATGTAGTTATTGAAGATTTGATCTCTTAACAATAATTGAAAATGCTTTGGTTTTGGAGCTGTGTGGTAAACTGGTAATAGTAGAAATGAAAGGAGCTTTATGATGTTGACTTTATGAAATGACTCTAAAAGTGAATATCTTCAAATTATGGCATCCTTTAATGTTAGCCCGGTAGGTTGATTGCAAGGGATGTCAAGAGGTGGCACACTTAGAAATGAAGGAATTATGGTTGTAATTCAACAAAATAGAGGCAGTGAAAGTGGATACTCTTTGTAGGTTTAAGGTTGCCTCCTTTCTACCTTGAAAATCAAGGTAAGTGAATGAGAATTTCCAAGCCTAAAGATACCCTACTCGTAGATTAGAATCTGATTTTTGCACAAATATGAGTTCATATTAGATGCTAATATCATCTAGATTCTCAAATTTCTCTTGGTATTTGGTTATATGCGTCTTACACTTATCCAATGTCCATGTATTCGTATGCTTGAAAATTGCATTTTAACTTCAACCAAATCGGGAAAAGGGCTGGGATCATGGTGGTAGCACCCCCATTCCCTAGTCACCACATTGTGGTTTCCATTTCTACTAACACTTTCAAAAACTTCAACCAAATAAGAAAGAATTAAAATTTTAGAGCTTGTCAAATTCACCCGTTTTGGGCTTTTGTTTATACAAACTATGCAAATTCATCCGAGTGCACTTGTAAATGCTCTGTTAATTACATCTAGTTGAAAAGTTTGAAAGTAGAACCTCCGGTTTTGTGAATAAATGCAATTATAGTAATCATATTGAAGTTAAATTAAATAAATGGGCTTAAATTGCCAAAAATTATTTTCTTGTTGCCTGGTTCTTTCCTTCAAAGACCTTGTTGGGGTTTGTGGCCTCTAAAGGCTGTGAGTGCATGTAATTAATATTTATAATGGATAAACACTTCAGTGGGAGTGTGTGATGTGTTGATTGACCAATGGTTAGGCGGTCTATGACCCTAGTCATGTCCAAAACCCCTACTCTTAGACATGTGGCACTTCCCGAAAAGGGTTATTTCTTATTGAGGTCGGAGAGATGCTTGGGGATGGATTGAACACTAGGAGAGTTGTGTGGTGTTCTGTGTGCAGATGTAAGCTTGTGACAGTAAGGGCTAAATCTTTAGCAAACTTCCTCACGCATGTACATATAACAGCCGCACTACTAAGAAGTAACCCTTGAAAGGGATAACTGTAGTAGCATGTGCTTAGCTTGCTCTTAAAGGGGGGGAACTGTAATCTACAACTTCGGACTGTGGTTCCACTATTTATTGCCCAGCCTTAACATGCCAATCATGAGCTCCAGCATAAGACTGTAGGTCATGGGTTTCGTTGGGTATGTTTGAGAAGACAATAGTGGATCATGATCACTGGGTTGGGTAGAGTTCTCTTATAGTCAGTTATTTTGACCTATTCGTACAAGTCCACTTTTAGATATGTTACTTTCAGCATTAGAAATGTTTATGTGAATTTTAGAATTTTTTAGAATTTTTAAAATTATTTTGCTGTATAGTGTCTAAAAAGGGCATTTCTAAAATTTTGTTGATATGGGAGGGCACATGTGGGGCCTTTAGATCCGGCCCCACATGTTTGCCACACGACATGGGTGGGGCGTCGACCCATGGTGGGCTCACACGTCCCACATGGGGTGGCACAGCCCCCTCTTCTCTCTTATCTTCGATTATGTCTTAATTAAAGATGCTTTAAGTTGGTTAAAGATAATCTTTTAAAAAGAAAGATTATGTACTTATTTTATTGGGAGTTATTTTGAGATAGATTTAACTAAGATATTTTATTTTTGAATTTTGACTTCCTATAATTTTAAAGAGATAAATAAGGAGGTTCTAGTAGGTTTTTAGTTTGGTCTATTCCTAATTAGACTAGAAGTGGTTTGGGTCAAATATTAAGAGGATAAAGCTCCTAATATTCCTTCCTAAATCATGACGGTTGATTTATAGGATGGGTTCACATTTATTTCTTTCACACCTCACAAATTTCCTAAATTCCTATTGGTCAAGGTGAGTCATTGGATAGGCATTATACCTAAAGGGGTCTTGAGACCTCTATAAGGAGATGAGCCCCCACTCTGAAAACACACAATTCTTGTTCTTATCACTCTCCTCTCTCTCTCCCTCTCTCTCTCTCTACTCTCTACTCTACTACTACTACTACTACTACTACTACTACTCTCTCTCTCTCTCTACTCTCTCTACTCGTACTACGTACGTACGTACGTACGTACGTACGTACGTACGTACG